TGGTCAGCACTTGAGATCTCAGGGACGTCCAAGACCGGGCTTTATTGAACCCATCCTCTCAGCTCCATTCTTGTTGTGCAAACCAAGGCTGTTCTTTGCATGCCTCCAGATGTTACAAAGATCTGAATGTTAAAATGCCAACGTGTCCCAGCTCTGAATTAGTCTCCTTCTGCCTCGCTTACCCCTGGGAAAGAAGAGTAATTGTAGACTCAGAAGTCATAAACCCTCAGTAAGTCTTTGCCCCACCGCAAAATGTCTTCCTACAAGAATGCTTAGGGAGCAGAGCTTTAGTTTGTTTTTTTCTCTCTAGCTGATGTAAGTCTTTGCTACAGAATATCTGCCTAATTGGAGGCACACTTTCTTGTCCTGATAAATGCATTGGACACATTCATCTTGCCATGGAGGCTGATGAACTTGCATTCTTTGTGTGAAGCCAGGGGAGAGAGGAATAGGTTGAGTAGCAGGTGTCCTTCACTCAGCAAATGATGGAAAACTTACTACGTGCTGGATGCTGGGAGTACGGATGAGACACCGTCCTCTGGAGATTGAGGACAAACACATGCATTGATAGAGATGGGCACAGGGTCCTGGACAGCTTCTCAAAGGAGGCAGAGGTCTGGGCTAGATCTCAAAGGTTGAATTAGAGAGCTAATACAAATGTACAGAAGCAAGAAACAACCTGGCAAGGACACAGCCAAGGTCTTAGGCCTGAGAACTTGTGTGCAAATGAGAACTCTGGCCACCCAGGCTGTTGTGCAGTGGGGTTTCACAATGCTTGTATTCTGAGCCCAAACATAGAGCCAAGGAAGTCAAGAGACTGAAAGCCCAGAAAAAGTTTTATGGAGAAAGCATCCAAAAATCAAGATGTATTTTTGTAAGAAATCAGTTTCGGCATGGCAGATTTTATGGTCTTGTGGGACCTGCTGTGTTCAGGAACTGCTCTGTTAGCACATCTGAGGCTCAGATGTTCAGAGCTGGAAGGACCTCAGAGGGCAACAAGGAAACTGAGGACCCAGGAGGGGATGGGAAGCAGGACACTGGCTGGGGAGTCAGGCCCACTGGGTACCACAGCCAATTTGCCCCACACTGGCTGACTCTTTGAGGAGGTGGCATGACCACACTAAGCATGTGTCCTCAGCTATAAGGTAAAGATGATGAGTGGACCAACTCCAAAGCATGGTCTTGAGGACGCAGCAAGACAAGGCATGTACCTGAGCTTGGTGTCTGGTAGATGGAAAGTGCTCAAGAAATGTTAGCTGTTACTCTGACAATGGCAGCTACACATGACCAGAACCTGTAACTAATCAGGCATCAAACAGGTCAGATAAAGCAGAGGATCAGCAAAAAGAAAAACCTTAATTTAAAACACCAATGAGTCTGCTGATCGGGTCACAACTTTTTTTTTCATAAACTTCTTTCATAGTGGATTGCTTGTGATTTCTAGTTTTCTTTTTAAAGCACAACAAAAACTTCCAGGCCCTGACAAAGCAGTCTGTATGCAGAACCTTTCAAGATTTTTATGAGGGCCAGCCCGGTGGCGCACTGGAGAGTGCGCTGCTTGGGAGCGTGGCGGTGCTCCCGCCGAGGGTTCGGATCCCATGTGGAGAGCCGAGGGTTCGGATCCCATGTGGAGACCGGTTCCCGCTCACTGGCTGAGTGCAGTGCAGGCGCAACACTGAGGGTTGCGATCCCGTTGCCGGTCCCCGGTACAGGCGCGACACCGAGGGTTGAGATCCCGTTACCGGTCAGTGACAAAAAGGAAAAAAAAAAAGATTTTTATGATCTTTGCTCCAATCTGTAGTTGTCTCCCCCACACCTGAATGGTTATATTTGAAATCACTCACCTTTTTTCATTCAATTTAGCTCTTTAGACTGCTGTCACTTTTTCACCCTTATTTCACTGGCTGAAACAAGATTTTATTGATTTGCATAGTTATAGCCACACATTCAAAGTGGGACAGATATAACTTTCTATGTGTGTGCATTAAAAAAAATTTTTTTTTTTTGGCAGCTGGCTGGTATGGGCATCTGAACCCTTAATCTTCATGTTACAAGGCTATGCTCTAACCAACTGAACTAACCGGCCAGACTTTAAAAAAAATTTTTTTTATATAACTCTTGACAGGCATTTACTTCACCTGGTGGGAGGAGAGACATGTAAGTACACCAGCCCCAAGGGGTTGGCACACTGTGAGCATCACCCAGTAATTTTGGAAATGGATACAGCAGTTAATGACACCAAGGTCACTTAAGAAAGTACCTTTACTATTTATGGTATGATTGATGCTCATTCCAAAGAAGCAAGTTGGTGTGGTGAGATGACAGTGGGCTTCAGGATCAGACCCATCTCCCTGTACTGGAACCTTGGGCATATTTAGTCTGTGCCTCTGGGTCTGTTTTCTTCACTATAAAATGTGGTGCATCCCCATCTGTCAGGGTGGGTGTGTAAATGAAATAATCTAGGAAAGGTGTTGAGTGTCACCCCTAGAAGGAAACAAGACTCGGCCTCTCCCACCATATAATTCCTTCAGATCAGCCACTCTTGGGAGAATTCAGTGCTGATCTCAGTTTCCTGTACTTTCAGGAGTCAGGTTTCTAGCCCTTGTATTGCCACCTCCAGTGCCAATCGCCAGCTGACGATGCTGGAAGGGAAGTCAGGACCCTACTTCTCCTCTCTGGACTCAACCATCGACATCCTGAAGAAGAGAGCCGAGGAGCTGATCGAAAACATCAATGAGAATAGGCAAAAGGACCATGCACTCATGACCAACTTCAGGGACAGCCTCAATATCAAGGTGACTGATTCCTCCCAGGTGGGGTTGGGGGTGGGGGGGCATTCCTTATGTAAAAGGGGAGGGAAGGAACCACTGCCAAGCATCTGTTATGTTCCAGACACAGTTGCTAGGCAATTCACACATAGTATCTCATTTCATAATTACAAGAATCCTGCAAAGAAATCAGACCCATTTTATAGATGAAAAAGCTAAGGTTTGGAAAGAAATGATTTGCCCAAGTGACAGAGCCAGGCTGAGGAACCGAGGTCCACCTGCCTCCAAAGCCCAGCCCTCTTATTTCATGCAAGGGCAGATGGCTATGGGAGTGGGGGCTGAGGCACGGCTTGTGCTATCTCACCCATATGTCCTCCAGCAGTCATTGAATGGTCTGTGATGGAGAGTCAGGGTCCCTCAACACTGCTGGGGCTGATATCTCACAAAGTCTGATGGTCATGTTCAAGTCTAACATTAATGATTGCACCTAATGCCTCTTCAGAATACTTAATTTGATCCTTTGAGTGGGACAGCTTGCTGATTCAACATGTCACCTCTCGATGACAGATTGACTTTATTTTCTCTTTTACTTCCCCCACTCCTATCCCCATCAGTACACATTGGTCATAGAAAATTTAGGAAGTAGAGAAAAGTATAATGCAATAGAAAAGATATAAAAACATTTCTTTGATACCACCACCCAGAGGCCACTTTGTTGCATGTTTCTTCTAGTCCCCATTTAGTGTACTTTCTTCCTAACCTGGTTGAGCTTCTACTGTATACAGTCATGTGCCCCATAATGACGTTGTGGTCAATGATGGACCATATATATGACAGTCGTCTCATAAGATTATAATAGAGCTGAAAAATTCCTTTTCTGTGTTTAGATATGTTTAGATACACAAATACCATGCCCACAGTATTCAGTACAGTAACATGCTGTACAGGTTTGTAGCCTGGGAGTAATAGGCTACACTGCACAACCTAGGTATGTAGTAGGTTACGTCAAGATTAGTGTAGGTACACACTATGATGTTCACACAATGATTAAATCGCCTAATAACACCATTCTTAGAATATATCCTCATTGTTATGTGACGAATAACCATATATACTTTTGCCTCTTGCTTTTTAAAACAAAACAAAACAATATATAGATAATTTGACTTCCAGTCACTGGAGTAGTTTTTACCACTTTTTTTTTTTTCCTTTTTGTCTTTTTTCGTGACCGGCAACGGATCGCAACCCTCAGTGTCGCGCCCATACCGGACCGGGACCGGCAACGGGATCGCAACCCTTGGTGTTGCGCCCGCACCTCGCTCAGCCAGTGAGCAGCCGGTCTGTATGTGGGATCCGAACCCTCGGCAGGAGGGCCGCCGCGCTCCCAAGCGGCTCACTGTAGCAGTGCGCCACCGGGCCGGCGTTTTTACCACTTTTATAAGTTGCAGAAATCTAAGAGATCCACTTAGAACAAATATCTGCCTCTCATTTGATTTTCCAAGAACATGTCTTATTCTTTAAAAGGTTTCGGATCTGACAGAGAAGTTAGAGGAGAGGATGTATCAGATTTATAATCATCACAACAAAATCATCCAGGAAAAGCTTCAAGAGTTCACCGAGAAGATTACAACGATCAACCATCTGGAAACAGAGCTCAAACAAGTCTGCCACACCGTGGAGACTGTGTACAAAGACCTGTGTGTCCAGCCTGAGGTATGAGAAAATTCATACAGGGGGCACCGCCTGAGGAAGGGGAGTTGTAACGGCTCAGCTGAGAGTGGATGTGAACAGAAACCGAGCACCTGGCTCTAGCCCCACAGGGTCACAATCATCACAAAGCCCTGTGGGTGCTCTTGCCATCTATTTAAGGCCCCCTGTGACATGGTGTGTCCCAGCCAAGAAGCTGGACCAGTGTCATTTCCCACCGTTGAGTAGTCAGCTGTGTGGTGACAAAAAGACAAAGCATCCAGTGCCTCCACCAGTCAGAAACTGTCCCCTCCACCCATAGCCTTGAGTCCTGTAGCCCTGGCACATGCCTGGGGGCATGGGCACCGCCTTCCCCGGGTTTATTTATTATAGCAGAGCCTAAGACTGAGACATGGGCCAGGTCACCCTAAGAGAAGAGTCCCCACCCCATCCCAGCCACTCTCAGCCCCCAGACGTGTTTGTTTCTCTTGTGGCTGAAACGACTTCTCAGATGGTTATCAGTAAACATGGCCCAACACAGAGGGGTCAGACATGCAGACTCTTTATTTCCCTTGCCCTGTTCCTATGTCCAGCATAAGGCACTTCCCCCTCAGATGGAGGGTCAGAGGGCACACAGTGAACACCTGGTGTGAGGGGATCTGCTCAGTCAGCTGCCAGGTTGGTCTCGTGCAAATTCCTTCCTTTTAGTCACGCTCCTTCCCTCTCCCTGCTCCCCATTACCCCCATCAAGAGAAGCTTATGTCTTAAGGTAAATGGAGTCTGTTCTCATCCACGGTTAAACGTGGATTGAGAAACTCAGTACAGAGATTCCCATCTTCTTGCATACCTGAACAACTTCCGAAGGGCAATTCTGATATTTAAAAGTCAGTGTCTCTCACTTCCCACCATAAAAGTTAGCTCCATCTGCCACCTCCCTTGCTAAGCTCAGAACATGGTGTCCTCAGTGTCCCACCAGGCGACTCTCTGGGAAGGGGCTTCAGAGCATCTGGGCCCTGGTGAAGTAGGTTCACTTGCTGGCCGTGAAAGCCTGAATCCCCGTGATGGCTCTTCCGAGGATCAGAGCGTGAATGTCATGTGTACCTGAAGATTAATATACAGTTGGTTTAGAGTCTAACAGCTCACACCTTCCTTTTAAAGTCAATCTTCCATGTCCCCCCAGGCTCCTACTTCAGAAGAACAGACCCACAAAGATGACAAATGCTGACAGCTGCCAGGAGATTTGCGGCTTAGTGACAGCCACCAATAGAAGGCTCAGAGGCCACCGTACAGGCCACGCTGAGAAATTGTTTTTCACAGTTCTGTAATGCATCTTGGAAAAACAAACAAAAAACCCAAAGCTCCTTGTGCTAGCCCCAAACATGAAGCAAGTCTATCCCCTGCCGTGGGCCCACCCTAACCCCACACAGTTGATTAAACATTTGATTTCCAATCCAGCCACACTTCCTTCACACAGAGGCTGAGAGCTGATTAGCTACGTAGAAACATGGCAGGCCCTTTCTTACTCAGAGGGATGGAAAACGGACACGTCAGAAAAACTGTGTCATGGCTGATCTCCCTCAACTGAAGCCACCTAACCCAGTGTCGCACACCCAACTCCCTCATGTCTGGTTTGCTCTTCCCCAGCTTCCAGGGCAGAAGGCAGAGATTACAGCTTCCCTTTTATGAAGTCAAATAACTGTTTACTTCCAAAAGCACAAATCTGACCTATTCCTCTGTTACGTAAAACCATTGGAAAGTCCCCTCTGCTTTTCCTCAGAGTCCTACACCTGTAGGATCCCCTCATTCCCCCATCCTTCCCTCTTGAAGTTTCTGGAATGTTCCATCACCTGCCTAATAGAAACAAGATTTGGGGGCTGGCCGGTTAGCTCAGTTAGTTAGAGCGTGGTGTTATAATACCAAGGTCAAGGGTTTCGATGCTCATGTGGGCCAGCTGTTCCCACCCCCCACCCCCCACCAAAAGAAACAAGATTTGGGGCTGAGGGACCTCCCCTTGGTTCAGTTCCTTAGTCACTGGGGGCACACAGGAAAGGCATCAGCTTCTGTACATGCTGTCTTCTCTGCCTGGAAGCTTCTCTGCTCAGGGAGCTCCTAAGGTCTCCCTCTGTTTCTGCATGGCTCACAATGGATTGCACCTTCTTTTCCTTTTTAATTATCTTTTCCCACGTGTCTTCCCACCAAGCAAGGGGTTCTGGGCCCCAGTGTGAGTCAACCAGTTGTGAGATGCAAACACCACAGTCTATAAATTATTATTATTATTATTTTCCTTTTTGGTGGCTGGCCGGTATGAGATCTGAACCCATGATCTTGGGGTTATAAGGCTGGGCTCTAACCAACTGAGCCAACCAGCCAATCTCTTAACATAAAATGGAGTGGTGATTCCTGTGTGTAGCTTCACTCTCATGCCCTTGTATCCACCTGCTTGCTGGGAACTGTTCCTCACTCTGGGGAGACCCGCAGAGGTCATACTTGTCCCAGGAATGCCTGTCCTCCCCAGCATAATGGGAGAAAGGGCTGGGAGCATCTTGCACAGCCTGAGCAGGGCTCCTGTGCAGTGCGTGAAGCCCTTCACCTCCATGGTCACCAGATGAGCACCTCCAGTGAGGGATGTGGGTGTGACTTGACCCAGGTCACACTGCTACTTGGTGACAGCCAGAAGACCTGGGCCTGTTGTCCCCACCCCTCATCACTGTCCCCCTTCCCCTGACACTGGGGTCACTGTGACCTTCCCCCACAGGGTCCAGCCCCCACCTTCATAGGTGTTCACAGCCTCCAGGTTCATGGCGTGCCGGATCACGTGGTACTCATCAGAAATCCCATTCCCCCCCAGCATGTCTCGGGCCAGGCGGGCGATGTCCAGGGCTTTCCCACAGTTATTCCTCTTTAGCAGAGAGACCATTTCTGGGGCAGCCCTGGGAGTGGCATAGACATGTAACAAGTTGGGGTACAAAGAACTGACTCCACTCAGGCATCCAGGCACCCTGAACCCAGGAAAACCCAGCCAAGCTGTGGGGGAGTGAGAGGGAATCCCTGATACAGCCACCAGGCTCCCAATGAGGGTCCAGTGAGGCCATCCCTGCTCCAGGCTATTAAGGCCAAGAGGGAGAAAAAGGGATGGGTCCCCAGAGCCACCAGGTAGGAAAGACCTTTCTCCCCAGGAGGAGCACAGCATCCTCCTGCAGCAGCTGCCTCCCCCCACACACAGCCCCTACTTGTCTTGATCCTTCAAGCGGCCAAGCTGCAGGCAGGCTTGGAGGCCCAGTGTGATCTCGGTGAGCATGTCTGCCAGCTTCTTCTGAATCAGCTGGTTCCTGGCCAATGGGACACCAAACTGCATCCTAGACAGGCAAGGTCAGGGTAAGGGCCAGGGGAGTCCCACTCCCCAGTCCCCATCCCAGGGCCCCACTGCTCCAGGAAGCCTTCCCGGGCTGCCTCAGCCCGTCAATAGCCATTTCACAGCGTGGGGAACTTAGGCCTAGGGGGAGAACATTGGGGAGTTGCTGGTGGGGTACAGGATAGAACCCAAGCTCCCTCACTCCTGCAGGACATGTCACACAACTCCCACACACCTGTCCAGGGTGTATTGCCGCACCGTGTGCAGACAGAACTCGGCAGCTCCAAGCACGCCCCACGTGATGCCATAGCGGGCATTGTTGAGGCAGCCAAAGGGACCCTATAGGGTTGAGATGGGGCCTCAGAGACGCCCAGGAGACACTGAGAGAGCCTGTGCAGAACAAAATTGGAAGCAAGCTGGGAAAAGCCCCTCCCAGACAGCCCAGACGTGGGGGACTCAGGGCAGCCATGTAGATCACACAGGGCCCTGGCACCAAAGCAGGTGCATGGCAGGCCTTACGCAGTGCCTGTTCACTCTTGATTTGCACACAATTCTACCCAGCCTGGGAATGTAGATCCAAGGCTCAGGTCTAGGAGGCCGCCATGAGGAGGCAGGAAGATGCATGTGAATCAAAGGACAGAGCTGGTTCAGGCCCTGGTGTCCTGGGCAGAGCCAGTGTGAGCAAGACAGTCACCAGACAGCAGCAGTTTTCGGCACATCAGCAAGTCAGGCCAAGCCTCAGAATCACCACTGTGTGGGCTCCACTAGCACAGGGACCATGTCTCTTGGTCCCCACCTGGTTCCCCAGCATGGGACCTGCCTGAGAAAAGTAAACCAGCAGTGACCCAACACCAGTTCCCAAGGCAGCCACCACTCACCGCCAGGCTGGATGCATGGGGCAGCACATTCTCCTCTGGCACCTCCACACCATCCATGATGACCATGCCCGTGGCCGAGGCCCGCAGGGAGAACTTGCCCTCGATCTTAGGAGCTGAGAGGCCCTGCATCCCCTTCTCCAGCAAGAAGCCCCGGATGCAGCTATCATCACACCGAGCCCACACTACAAACAGGTCGGCCATAGGCGAGTTGGTGATCCTGAGGGTGGGACAGTCCATGAGGGGTTTGGCTACAACCCCCACCTCCATCCCACCACCCCTGTCTGCCTGCCTCCTGCCCAGGCCCCTCACCAGGTCTTGGTCCCATTGAGGGTATAGCTCTTGCTAGATGGGTTGTGGCGGGCTCTGGTCTCCATGCTGCTGGGGTCACTTCCACAGTTGGGCTCTGTGAGCCCAAAGCAACCCAGGATTTCCCCCTTGGCTGCAGACACAAGACAGAGTCGTGAGGCTGCCTGGCCCTGTTCATCCCCTCAACCCCCAATTAGACTCTCCACTAGGCCAGGCCTGATAAGCAAGGTAAATCCTGCCTGGCCTCACAGCACTCCTAGGTGGTGAGGGAGACAGCTTTCTCCAGGCCATAATCATGTGGCTTGATGGGGAGGACCCCAGGGAGTCAGGAAGGAGTTGGCAGTGAGGAGCTGAGCAGGAGGAGGGTGTGGGGAAGAGCAGTGCTGACAGCAGGAACAGCATGTGCAAAGGCCCAGCTGTACGTTTGCAGAATTCCAAGTAGCTGAGTCTGGCTGGGGAGGAGCAACCAAGAGAGTGGCCAGAAGTAAGATGGAGAGGACAGCAGAGGCCTGGTCACACAGGACCTCATGGACTAGGTTAGGAAGTTGACTTTAAAATTTGGGCTGGGATAAGAAGCACGGAAAGCAAATGCAGAGGGAGGTGATGGTGGTGAGAGAGGGGCAGAGTCAAAAGAGACCTAGGAGGAGGCTGGTCAGGGTGAGGGATCAGATGTCCCAGTAAGGCCCAGGGTCTGGCAGGGGGTCCAGATGGCCACTGGTGCTATCTTTGAGATAGGGGCAGAGAATAGGCTCGGGGGATGGCCGTACCCTTGAGTTCCAGGCCACAAGGACTGTCTTCCCTCCACCTGGCCCTATGGTCAGTCACTCACCTAGCCGGGGCAGGTACTTCTGCCGCTGCTCCTCACTGCCATAGGCATAGATAGGGTGCATGACAAGGGAGGACTGGACACTCATTGCTGACCTGTAGCCACTGTCCACCCGTTCCACCTCCCGGGCCAGAAGCCCATAGGCCACAGAGGAGATACCAGCACAGCCATACCCTGGTGGTGGCAGAGGAGGGGAAAGTGGGTCAAAAGGGACAAAACTCTGCCTAGCTGGGACCAGGGATTCCTGGGACCGAAGAGACAGCTGGACAGGGCCACTCAAGGAGGCAGGCACTGAGCTGGCCCTAGCTGAGGGTTTTTTCATCTCATACCCACAGCTTCTTTCAGAGAAATAACAGCCCCACTGTACAGAGTGGAAAACTACAGATCAGGGAAAGGAGGGGGCTTTTCAGGACACAGTGGGGCCTGCATAATGTAGAGAGAAACTCATCCCTACCTTTGATGGTGGGGCCCAGCACGCCCAGCTCTCCCATCTCCGAGATGATCTCCCGATGAAAAACTGCAAAGGGACAGATGCCCAAGTTCAGGGCCAGCCAGAACCCACACTGGAGGCCCCAAGATGCAGGAACAGAGAAGCCCAGAGGCTAGAGCAGGCAGAGCTTGTGCAAATGGCAGAGGGTGCGGTTCAAGTGGGAGAGGTGCAGCAGGCATCACCCACCCGCCCCGCCCAGGCACCTTCTTTGCGATTGGCCATCAGGATGCGAGGCATGAGTCGCTCCTGGCAGTAGGTGCGGAAGGTGTCCCTGATGAGGATCTCATCGGAGGTCAGTTGCTCTTCCAGCACCAACGGGTCCCGCCAGTCAAACTCTGGACGCGAGGCTGGGGTGGGGAGTGGTAGCTCAACTCAGCGCAGCCTACCTGACCACCGTGCCCTCCTCTCCTGGACCCTGAGACTCACCCCTCCACCCTCATGTGCCTCCTTGCTGATGTGGGCTGCAAACAGGACAGACAAGGTGACCTTTCTCCGACCCTACAGGCACTGGACATTCACTACCCTAGCGCTGGTCACGGTCCTGCCTCCCCGCCGGGGCCGCCCTCGGATTCTGGGACAGAGTCCACCCGGGGCAAACAGAGAGCTGGACAGGGGCCACAGACCGACGGCGCGACTGGTGGTCCTTACACTTGGCCGGTGGGCTCTGCGTCCTCCCGCCCTTTTCTGCAAACACGGAACAGAAAAGTCACCCTGGAAGAGTCCCTGAACCCCTATTTTCTCCCTCCCCACCCCACCCCTGGCCACGCACTGACCTGTCTGCGACGCCGCCGAGATCCACGCGCGCAGGACACGCAAGCAGGGTACGCGACTCGGCAGCCGCGCGGAGACGCATCTCAGGGCCATGCAGGCAGCGGATGGACAAGGGAGTGGAGCAATGACGGCGACCTGGAGGAGTCGGGGCATCAGAGCGGAGCGGCTCCCACCCGCGACCCCGGCACCTAGCGCTCTCCTTACCTGATCCTGCCGGACTCACAGCTCTGTGGACTGCAACTGACGAAGGCCTTTGACCTCAGTGGAGGTGGGAGGAGGGGGAAGTCAGATGAGGCTTCTCATTGGTTCCTTCAGGAAGGCTCATCCGCGGCTCTCTCTTTTAAAAGAAAGGCTACGGCAGCCCTGCGGGTAGAGGCAGGCGCGCCTAGGCCGAGACATGTTAGCCCCTTTAAGAAGCGGAACAGGGGCGGGGAGGAAGGCAAGTGCGCTAACCCTATTGGCTAGCTGTATTTCTGCTCTGATTGGCCCTAGGAGGAGGTTCAGGCCATTGCTGGTTGGCCAATAGTAGGGGGTGTGTGTGGATACCTGAGCTAAAAAAAGAAACGGGCTGGCAGGTTTGTTCACTCAGTAGAGTGTGGTGCGGATAACAACAAGGTCAAGGGTTCTGATCCTCTCACCGGCCAGTCGCCATGAATGAATGGAGACACGAGGAAAATGAGTCCTGGAACCCGGGAGGCCAGACCTCGAGGTCTCCTCTAATGAGGTGCTGGTGGAGGAGAAGGTGGGCTCCGCGAGTGGACGATCCCAGCCCACTCTGTCTGCCAGTCTGTGTGTGTGTGTGTGTGTGTGTGTATTGCCTTGTGTGATTCTGTGCATCTATGTTATGATTGTGCCTGAGTAACTGTATCTGTATGCGTGTGAGACTGTGTGCCTGTGACATTGTGGGGCTATGACAGTGTGGTTGTGGTGTGGATTTTGGCTGACTGTATTTGTGTGGGACTGTGTTTCTGTGGAATGTTATGTGATGTTGTAACTGTGTGTTTGAGTGTGTGATTGGGCAAAGTGTATGCTTTTTTTGGTGGAAATGATTGTGTGTTTCTATGATGTTATGTGAGTGGTTGTGTTCTGTGGTTGTGATTGTAATTGTGTGTTGGTGTGATGCTGTCAATAGTTGTGAGTCTTTACAAGTATGTTTGCGTGGTCATGTTCTACATCAGCCTATATTTGTGTTTGTGGGCATGTGATTCTGTCTGAGACGACCAGTGTCTGTATATGATTGTGTCCGAGTGGTTGCAAAAGTGCTTGTGTTGTGACTGTATTCCTATGTCTCTGTTAACCACGGGTGGTTTCTGTCTGTGTAGACTGTCTGTATGTCTGTAAATGTGGCTGAATGTAGGATTTTTTTGTGTGTAATTGTAGGCTTGTATAATGCTGCCTTGGGTTGAATGTCCCCCCAAAACTTAATCCCTCTGTAACTGTTGAGGGTGAGAAATACTATTATGGTCATTGAAAGGTGAGGCCTTCATAAGGTGACTAGATTGTATGACCATGCTTTACTGAATGGATTAAAAATGCTCGTGGGCATGGTTTGGAGGGCTTTAAGAGGAGAGTGAATGAGAAGGTTAGTGTCTCTGCTCTCTCTGCTCCACTATTGTCACAATGTCATACTCTGCTGTCACTGTTACCACTGCCAGGCTCTTACCAGATGTGTTTCTTGGGCTTTGGACTTCCCAGCCTCAGAAACTGTAAACAATAAATTTCTTTTTCTTATAAATTACCCAGTTCCATGTGTTTTGTTATAAGCAGTAAAAATGGACTAATACAAATGACATTCTGTGTGGTACTGAGAGTGTGACTGTGTTTTGGTGGTTTTCTGTCTACATGTGCCTATTATCTTTGTGATAATATGACTGGATATTTGTGTGCACGTCTGGGTGATTGTGTATCTATATGTGTCTGTATGATTTGGTCTACATACAGTTGTGTGTGATTATGTGCCTGAGTGTGACATGTATGTGCCTGAGTGAGCAGCTGTGCTCCACCTAGGTCTCTAACACGAACATTTATTTTTCTTTCTTTTTTTCCCCATGAACATTTGTGTGGTGCATGTTTGAATCTGGTCGTTTAGTGTTTGACCATCTCTGTATCTGAAAGCCACACATCTACCATGACCCACCCATTTCCCAACTGTGGAAAGTAAGACCCAGAAAACAGAGGGGTATTGCTCAAGGTCACAGTGGGCCAAGTGCAGAGCAGGGAGCAGGAATGGGATCTAGGCCTCCTGATTCCCAGGCCAGACCTCTGTCCACCCAGGAACACCTCCTGCCACATCAACCCTCTGTGTAGTTGTGTATGTAGTGTGCGCTGCCTTGCATATCCTCTCTGAGTGTGATGGGAGTAATTGTGGGATTGTGCTGGAGTGTGATCACTGGCCTGCATGTTCTCAAATGGCTGGGGCCTGGGTGTCCCTGGACCCTCCCAACTTCTGGGCCCTTTCACCCTTAATATCCAGATAAGATAGTTCGAACCCTCCCACTCACACAACAGCGAGTCCATCACCACTTTGAAATGTCTGGGATTACGCGTTGCTCTCATTCTTCTGGTCACCTCCCTCCTCCTGCAGCCAGTGGCCTCTCTCCTTCCACTCCTTCCTTTCCCCAAAGCCCCCTGCCCTGGAGCTGACATGGGCATTGGAATTCTCTGAAGCTCAGATAAGTCTATCATCCCTCCTGGCCACATGTTCCCATGGGCTTTGTCTCCCAGGCAAATGTCCCCCTCTCTCTGGACCCTGTTCTCTTGCCTCACCTTGAAGAGCCAAATACGCCTATGTAGTGCTTTATTCTAAACCAGGGAGATCTCTCCCCAAGAGAAATTCTGTATTCCTCTCCAGAAAACCATTCTAATTCCAGCTATTTTGTTTCATTGAGGTGAAATTTACATAAAAAATTAACCATTTAAAAGTATATAATTCAGTGGTGTTTGGTACATTCACAATGACGTGTAACCACCACCTCTATCTAGTTCTGGAACATTTCTGTCACCCCAAAAGGAGACCCTGTACCCATTAGTAGTCATTCCCCATTTTCCCTCTCCAGCCCGTCACCTTTTTTTTTTTTTTTCCTTTTTGTCTTTTTTCGTGACTGGCAACGGATCGCAACCCTCAGTGTCGCGCCCGCACCTCGCTCAGCCAGTGAGCGGCCGGTCTGTATGTGGGATCCGAACCCTCGGCGGGAGCGCCGCCACGCTCCCAAGCGGTGCACTGTAGCAGTGCACCACCGGGCTGGCCCCAGCCCGTCACCTTTAATCTGCTTTCTGTTTCTACGGATTTGCCTATTCTGGATATTTCATGTAAAAGAAATCAAACAATGTAGTAGATTGAATTATGTCCCCCATAAAGTCTGCTTATGGAATCCCCATAAGTCTGCTTCCTTGTGGCTGAGTTGTAGTATCAGTGGGATTGTGTGTGTGATTGTTTCAGTGCCTCTCTGTGTGATTATGAATTCTGTGTCTGAGGGATTGTATAACATTGTGCAACCAATATAGCACGTGGTTGTGTTTTGGTGCCTGGGAAACGTGTGTCTGTGCATGGTCTATATGCATGCAAAGACACACAATTATACTGCAGGAATAATATAGTCTGAGTGACTGAGGGACCAGGAACTTGTCACCATGTAATTGGATGGCTATATGACTACAAACTACGTTTCTGTTATGTGTGTCCACGTCCCCTATTCAGGCTCCCAGGACATCAGGGTGGAAGTCTCTGTTGCAGAACCTCAGATCCCTCCCCCACTTGAGGCAGAAATCAAGCCCAGAGTCAGGATCCAGGTCTCCTGCAGGTTAGGTTCTGCCTGTGGCTTGATCCAACAGTCCCATCCCACCCAGAAGAGGGGGAACCATCCCCTCCTCCCTTGCCCCCAGGGCACTGGAGCAGCTATAATTGCACCAGCCTTGGCCTCCACACAGTCCCATGCAGCACTGACCAAGGGTCCCTGGGAGACAATGATGGGTTAATTGGCAGGGGCTCCCTCCTGCCACAGGGCTCAGACCTGGGAGCTCACAAGCCAGGCAATGTAAAGCCAAGCTAATTTGAAGCCCCAACTCCCAGCCTTCCCACTGATCAGGGTACAGAGCTTTGGCTGTTCTGGGCTCCCACCTGATAGCAGCCTGCACCGTCTGGGGTGTCTGATAATGCCTGGAAGGGAGTTCGTGCCAAGTCCCGCCATCAGCACGGTTGTTGCTGTTTAATGGGGAGGAGGAGGGCTGCAGAGCCCCACTCAGGGGAGAGGGGGATCCCACAGCCTCTTCTCAGAACACCCATTCAGCCTGTCACACCTTCTCCAGGTAGGTAAACTGAGAGCAGCCCTCCAAGTCTCTTTCTTTGTAGACCCAGTACCTCTTCACCCAGCACCTAAACCCCCAACCTCTGAATCCCCAACCCCTGATGTCTCACTTGGCTTTGAATACAGGGCCGGTCTTTAAGGCCCAGCCCCAAACAGACTGAGGTGAGGTCTGTTCCCCAGAGTGATCCCCCCCCCCCCCCCCCCCCCCCCCCCCCCCCCCCCCCCCCC